CTCCAGCCTCGTACGCCCTCCTCCTCCCCGCACTCCACCCACCCAATCCCTCGACTCAACTGTTGCGCCCGCACACAACCAACGACACACACGACACATGACACGACACACATGACACACACAACCAACGATACACGCGACACGACACACGCTGCGTGTGTGCAGGGTCTGCTGGTGAACCTGATCGGCGTGTTTGCCTTCGCCCACGGCCACGCGCACGGCGGACACGGACACTCGCACGGCGGCGACGGCGGACACACCAAGAAAAAGAAGAAGCACAAGAAGGGCAAGCACGGCCACTCCCACGGCCACGGCGACCACGGCCATGCCCACGGCCACGACGACCACGGCCATGCCCACGGCCATCACGACGACCACCACGACGATCACCACGACCACGACGATCATGACGACCACCATGATCATGACGACCACCACGGCCACTCACACAAGCAGAAGAAGAAGAAGCACAGCTTCTCGGCCTCCAAGTCGGTGCTGGGTAAGCTCGTGGAGCCCTTCGCCGACTTCTTCCACCGCCTCTGGCACGAGGGCCTCACCGACAACCTCAGCGGTACCCCCTTCCCCCTCTTCCGCCCATCGGCTCCGCCTGTCGGAGCGCGTGCGTGCGTGCGTGCGGACTTGATCTGATGGTGCTCATATGTGTGTGTGTGTGCGCGCGCAGGTATCTGGCTGCACGTGATGGCCGACACCCTGGGTAGCGTGGGGGTCATCTTCTCGTCGTTCTGCATCATGAACTTCGGCTGGACTATCGCCGACCCCATCTGCTCCTTCTGCATCGCTGTATCTATCCCACCCACCCCCCACCCACCCAACAGTTTAGCTGACGTCAGCGTCGTTGTTTGTGTGGCTGGTGGTGGTGGCTGGTGGTGGTGGCTGGTGGTGGCTGGTGGGGCAACTACCAGCTGACGATCCTGATCTCGGTCATCCCGCTGCTGAAGCAGTGCTCCGTCACGCTCGCACTCCGAGCGCCGGCGCACCTCCAAAAGGACATCGACAAGGCCGTGCTCAAGGCAACCCCCCCCCAATCCACTCTACTACTCTCTCACCTCTCATTCGGAACCACCTCTTTACATCTATTTCTATTTCTATTTAGAACTTCTTCTATAGAGGTGAATAATTGTATGTCGTGGGATATCACGACTGACGAGGCGGCCATTCCCCGCGTGTGGTGCGTACAGATCACGCGGCTGGAGGGTGTGATGGGTGTGCGCGACGTGCACGTGTGGAAGCTTGCGGGCGACACGGTGGTGGCAACTCTCCACGTGCAGGTCCAGAACCACGTCGACGAACAAAAGATCATCAAGGCCGTAAAGGGGTTCTTTGCTGACACGGTACACCACCCACCACAAACCTTTGTATTATGGTTATGGTTATCGTTTTCATTATCGTTATCGTTATACCACAATTCTATTGCGTTGGAGGAGAGGATGACCGTGTGTGTGTGTGTGTGTGTGTGTGTGTGTGTGTGTGTGTGTGTGTGTGTGTGTGTGTGTTGGGAGCAGGTGGAGAACCTGACGGTGCAGGTGGAGAAGGACCGATTCTACGACCTGCAGACAAGGCTACAAAAGCAGCCGCTCTCCCTCCCCTCTTCCGCTCTCCCCATGGCGGCGCCCGCTCCATTCACGCCCCAGCCGGCCCCCGTCCTGGCGCCCTACATCACCAACGCCTCTCGTTCCCACTCTGTCGGCTCACTCGCCGCCTCCGCTTCCTCTCCTCCCACTTCCTCTTCTTTCTTCTCTGCCGACCCCGCGGCGGACGAGGGTCACCGCCACCACCACGATTATCACCACCATGACCACCACCACGACCATCCTCACCATGATCACCACCACCACGACCAGCACATTGACATCACGGTCGACAAGAGTCTGTAAGCGAGTCCTGGTCTACGCCAGACAAAAGAGCTTGCGTTTATTTTTTTTTACAAAGCCGGCGCAACGAAACAAAACCTCTCAAGGGGACGGCTTCTTCTTGTTGTAGGTGACGGTGGCGGTGGGCGTGGCGAGGGGCTGGGCGCGCTCGAAGGCCTGGTGGATGGTGGGCATGAGGTACTCGTTGACGAACCCGACCTTGCGGATGACCGACGTGGCGGGCAGGAAACTGCTGAACCCGCCGTCGGCGTGCGCTGGCGGAGGAGGGGGCGGGGGCGGGGGGCGGGAGAAGATGCCGAACGGGGCGGAGGCCACCACGGAAGACGACGAAGAAGAGAGGCCGGCCGCTTCTCGTCCGCTCGCGGGCGATGACGCTGATGGCGATGGTGCAGTGCTGGCGCTCGAGGCAAGGCCCGACTGCGCGTGCTGGCCGGCGGAGGGGGCGAAGATGGGGATGCCGCCCGTCGAGGCGCTCCCGTGGAGTCCGCCGCTGCTGCTGGTGCCGGTGGAGAGGAAGATGGCGGGCGTCGAGCGCGGAGAGACGAGGGGCGAAGGCGCGCCAGGCGCGTTGGGGCCATCGCCGAAGCTGCCGCTCATGAACTGGTGGTAGTTGGAGTTGAGGTCGGCCAGGAAGATGGAAACCGGCAGGAAGAACGAGTTGTTGGTGGACTGCAGCTGCTGGTTCGACTTCTCGATGAACCGCGGGTTGAGCAGATCCTGGAACGACGGGAACTTGATCGGCAGCGTCGAGTGGAAGTACTCCAGCAGCAGCTGGTGGAACTCCGGGTGCTTCTGCAGCGCCCGAATGAACTCCTGCATAGGTGTGCATTTGTGTGTCGTGTGTGTCGTGTGTGTCGTGTGTGTCGTGTGTGTCGTGTGTGTCGTGTGTGTCGTGTGTGTCGTGTGTGTCGTGTGTGTCGTGTGTGTGTCGTGTGTCGTGTGTGTGTCGTGTGTGTGTGTGCCGTGTGTGTAATCATGATGAGGTGATTGGTTGTGTTGTATGTTGTTAGCGCCAATAACTTGCGAGAGGATCCCACGTTGGGAGCTTGGGAGAGGGGGAGGGGTGCCTTGACGGGCAGCTTGGAGATGATGGCGAACTTGAACTCGTGGTCCTCCGGGGTGTCGCCCAGCGATGCAAAGAGCTCCGCGGCGAAGGGCTCCGTGATGTGGAACACGCCCCGCTCCTACACAAAGCCGGCATGCACGGTCACACACACATGCGCGGGTCAGCTGGACATGTCGAGTCACTCGACATGGTGGGCTTTTGGGTGTGTGGTGGGTTGGGGGAGCGGGAAGGGGGGGGGGTGGTGGTGTGGTG